TTTTTTACCGTTTTTTTTTCTCACTCTATTGGAGAGAGAAAAAAAGAAAAACAAAAAAATAAATACAAGTGTTGCATTCTTATTGGAAGGACCACAAATACGGGGATCATAATAAATTTTTTCACTTTGTGCTATATTTTTCCCTTTTTGTGTGTTTTTATTTTTTCTGTACCATTTCTTTTCTTTTCTTTTCTTTCTCTCTCTATTGGAGAGAAAAAAAAATAAAAAAAATAAAAAAATTAAATACAAGTGTTGCATTCTTATTGGAAGGACCACAAATACGGGGATCATAATAAATTTTTCCACTTTGTGCTATCTTTTCCCCTTTTTGTGTGCTTTATTTTTTCTGTACCATTTCTTTTTTTTTCTTTCTCTCGCTATGGGAGAGAGAAAAAAAGAAAAAAGAAATAAATACAAGTGTTGCAATATTATTGGAAGGACCACAAATACGGGGATCATAGGAAATCTTTCCACTTTGTGCTATATTTTCCCCTTTTTGTGTGCTTTATTTTTCTGTACCATTTTTTTTTCTCTCTCTCTCTATTGCAGAGAGAAAAAAAGAAAAGAAAAAAAATACAAGTGTGGCATTCTTATTGGAAGGACCACAAATACGAGGATCATAATAAGTTTTAATAAATTTTTCCACTTTGTGCTTTTCTTTCCCCTTTTTGTGTGCTTTATTTTTTCTGTAGCATTTCTTTTCTTTTCTTTTCTTTCTTTCTCTATTGGAGAGAGAAAAAAAGAAAAAAAAAGAAAAGGAGAAATAAATACAAGTGTTGTATTCTTATTGAAAGGACCACAATTACGGAGATCATAATAAATTTTTCCACTTTGTGCTATCTTTTTCCATTTTTGTGTGCTTTATTTTTTCTATACCATTTCTTTTCTTTTCTTTTTCTTTCTCTCTCTATTGGAGAAAAAAAAAAGAAATCATAAATACAAGTGTTGCATTCTTATTGGAAGGACCACAAATACGGGGATCATAATAAATTTTTCCACTTTGTGCTATATTTTCCCCTTTTTGTGTGTTTTTATTTTTTCTGTACCATTTCTTTTCTTTTCTTTTCTTTTCTTTCTCTCTCTCTATTGGAGAGAGAAAAAAATAAAAAAAATAAATACAAGTGTTGCATTCTTATTGGAAGGACCAAAAATACGGGGATCATAATAAATTTTCCACTTTGTGCTATATTTTTCCCCTTTTGTGTGTTTTTATTTTTCTTTACCATTTCTTTTATTTTCTTTTCTTTCTCTCTCTATTGGAGAGAGAAAAAAAAATAAAAAAATAAAAAAATACAAGTGTTACATTCTTATTGGAAGGACTATAAATACGGGGATCATAATAAATTTTTCCACTTTGTGCTATCTTTTCCCCTTTTTGGGTGCTTTATTTTTTCTGTACCATTTCTTTTTTTTTCTTTCTCTCTGTATTGGAGAGAGAAAAAAAGAAGAAAAAAACAAATACAAGTGTTGCATTCTTATTGGAAGGACCACAAATACGGGGATCATAATAAATTTTTCCATTTTGTGCTATATTTTCCCCTTTTTGTGTGTTTTTATTTTTTCTGTACCATTTCTTTTCTTTTCTTTTCTTTCCTTTCTCTCTCTATTGGAGAGACAAAAAATAAAAAAAATAAAAAAAATAAATACAAGTGTTGCATTCTTATTGGAAGGACCACAAATACGGGGATCATAATAAATTTTTCCACTTTGTGCTATGTTTTTTCCTTTTTGTGTGCTTTATTTTTTTTACCATTTTTTTCTTTCTCTCTCTTTTGGAGAGAGAAAAAAAGAAAAATAAAAAAATAAATACAAGTGTGGCATTCTTATTGGAAGGACCACAAATACGAGGATCATAATAATTTTAATAAATTTTTCCACTTTGTGCTTTTTTTACCACTTTTTGTGTGCTTTATTTTTTCTATACCCTTTCTTTTCTTTTCTTTTCTTTCTCTCTCTATTGGAGAGAGAAAAAAATAAAAATAAAAACAATAAAAAATAAATACAAGTGTTGCATTCTTATTCGAAGGACCACAAATACGGGGATCATAATAAATTTTTCCACTTTGTGCTATCTTTTCCCCTTTTTGTGTGCTTTATTTTTCTGTACCATTTCTTTCTTTTTTTTCTCTCTATTGGAGAGCAAAAAAAAAGAAAAAAATAAATACAAGTGTTGCATTCTTATTGGAAGGACCACAAATACGGGGATCATAATAAATTTTTCCACTTTGTGCTATCTTTTCCCCTTTTTGTGTGCTTTATTTTTTCTGTACCATTTCTTTTTTTTCTTTTCTTTTTTTTTCTATTGCAGAGAGAAAAAAGAAAAATAAAAAATAAATACAAGTGTGGCATTCTTATTGGAAGGACCACAAATACGAGGATCATAATAAGTTTTAATAAATTTTTCCACTTTGTGCTTTTCTTTCCTCTTTTTGTGTGCTTTATTTTTTCTGTACCATTTCTTTTCTTTTTTTTTCTTTCTCTCTCTATTGGAGAGAGAAAAAAAATAAAAAAAAAGAAAAGGAGAAATAAATACAAGTGTTGTATTCTTATTGGAAGGACTACAATTACGGGGATCATAATAAATTTTTCCACTTTGTGCTATCTGTTTCCATTTTTGTGTGCTTTATTTTTTCTGTACCATTTCTTTTCTTTTCTTTTTCTTTCTCTCTCTATTGGAGAGAGAAAAAAAAAAAAAAAAAATACAAGTGTTGCATTGTTATTGGAAGGACCACAAATACGGGGATCATAATAAATTTTTCCACTTTGTGCTATATTTTCCCCTTTTTGTGTGTTTTTATTTTTTCTGTACCTTTTCTTTTCTTTTCTTTTCTTTCTCTCTCTCTATTGGAGAGAGAAAAAATAAAAAATAAAAAATAAATAATTACAAGTGTTGCATTCTTATTGGAAGTACGATATGTAACACCCCGTAGTACTCCGGTTGTTAACATACATGATATTTAACATTCACAGCGGAAGACTTTATTTGAAAAGGAATAAAGCATCTTATAAAAATACGAGTAAACTTTTTCCAAAACATTTCATAAAAACATTTCTAAAAACGTTCACGTCAGATACTGCGAAAGCGTGAATCTGAATATACATCTACTAATTAATCCCATGAGCCAGTATTAGTGGCCATTGACCATCAAGATATGACATCAAGTGTCATTCCTAACGGAGTCTCACGGACAGCATAACGACTGTATTTCGGATAACTAGAAACATGATTCCACACATACAGAGAACCTAATTAATACAACAATTTAAACAGATAGCTTGCAAGTCCCACACGGACTGCAATCCCCTTAATGGGTCAATACAACTAATAAGGCTCCATGCCCAAATTAACTGAATACATGCATCAAGTCTATATTAATTCGAAGTATAAAAGTATCAGTAAATAATCCATGGCTCTAAGAATACTATCATGAGCCTAAATAAATACATACAATAATCTCCATAAAATAATTAAGCATGTTAACAAGTCTACATGCCCACATCAAATCTAAACATAATATAAAATCATCAGCTGCATCATCAACTACTCCAATGCGGGGGCCTTGCCCCTAGAAGCATCACCACTACTCTGGGTACCTGAAATGATGTCCCCAAACGGGGTAAGATAACAACATCTCAGTAAGCTCAAGGTTCATAGAGGATCCTCTAACCCCTGAGCCCACTTCCTGCATAACAAGTCAGATATTTCGGACTTCGACCGTAGTCATGAAATATGAAGTCTCAAATGGTGTCACAGAAATTCGCAAATCTCTGAACTCCTCAATCAAATCATACTCTGCAATCATCATGCTAGCCACACCCGTGGTCTTTCTGCTCAAGGCATCAGCCACTACATTCGCCTTTCCAGGGTGATACTGAAGGTCAAACTCATAATCCTTCAGGAATTCCATCCATCTCCTTTGTCTCATATTAAGCTCCTTTTGATCAAATAGATACTTCAAGATTTTGTGATCACTAAAAACTGTGAAGGTAGCACCATACAAGAAGTGTCTCCATATTTTCAATGCAAAAACCATGGCCGCTAACTCAAGATCATGAGTAGGGTAATTCTCTTCATGTGGTCTCAGCTGTCTAGAAGCATAGGCCACTACCTTTCGCTCCTGCATCAACACACACCCTAATCCATACTTGGATGCATCACAATAGATCTCAAATCTCTTCTCCGAATCAGGAAGAATCAGAACCGGTGCGGTAGTCAACTTATCTTTCAATTCTTGAAAACTCACATCACACCCAAGGGTCCATGCAAATGGCACCCCTTTTCGGGTCAACCTAGTCAATGGCAAGGCAATTCTGGAGAATCCATTAATAAACCGCCTGTAGTATCCTGCTAAACCCAGAAAACTTCGGATCTCAGTAACACTCTTGGGTCTCTCCCAATCCAGCACAACTTCAATTTTACTCGGATCAACAGCCACTCCTATAGATGATATGACGTGTCCAAGAAACTGGATCTCATGTAACCAAAACTCACACTTGGATGGTTTGGCATATAACTGATGCTCCCTTAAAATCTGTAGAACTATCTTCAAATGCTCTGCATGTTCTTCCTTACTTTTGGAGTATATCAGAATATCATCAATGAATACCACAACAAACTGATCTAAATGTGGTTTGAAAATTCGGTTCATATAACTCATGAACACGGCCGGGGCAATAGTAAGCCCAAATGGGATCACTAGATACTCATAGTGCCCATATCTAGATCGGAAAGCCGTCTTCGGAATATCCTCTGCTTTTACCCGAATCTGGTGATATCCGGAACGAAGATCAATCTTTGAGAATACTGAAGCACCCCTGAGCTGATCCAACAGATCATCAATGCGTGGTAGAGGATACTTGTTCTTTACTGTTACCTTGTTTAACTGTCGATAATCAGTGCACAACCTCATAGTCCCATCCTTCTTTTTCACGAAGATGACTGGTGCACCCCAAGGAGATACACTCGGTCTGATAAAGTTCTTGCGGGATAATTCTTCTAACTACTTCTTCAGCTCAGCTAGCTCCACTGGTGACATCCGGTATGGAGCCAATGAGATAGGCCCCACACCAGGTACTAAGTCAATTGGGAATTCAATCTCCCTCTCAGGTGGAAAATGAGGAATTTCTTCCGGAAATACATCTTCAAACTCGCATACAACCGAAATATTAGCAGTAGGTTCTTTGGAGTCTCCTACGAGTCCTCCCAGGATAATGTATCCTGCATCTCCCTCATTTAGAGCCTTATTTAATTTTTGTGCCGTCAAGTACAAACTGTCCGGTTTTTCTCCTTTTGCAGCAAAGAAAACCCTTCTGCTACAACAATCTAGCATCACACCATATCGGACCAGCCAATCCATACCCAAGATAATGTGTAGATTCATGCCCTCAAGCACTATCAAATCCACCATATACTCTTCTTGCTCATATATGAATCTGACTTCTTTGCACTTCAAGGAAGTAGAAACAATGTCTCCGGTGGCAATCTTCACTACCATGGGAGGCGTGAACTCACAAATGGGTAAATGTACCCCATTCGCAACAAATTCCGATATGAAGGAGTGGGTAGCTCTAGAATCAAACATGGCATCAAAAGCATATCCTCTGATAAGAATAGTACCTCTGATAAGGTTTGGAGACCTCTCTGCCTCCTGCTGTGTCACTGCATATACCCTGGCACTAGTGGGCGCCATAGGCTCCTCTATGGCTCTCTGAGTAGGCACGGACTGAATAGGGATCGCCTGAATGGCTGCAACTTGCCCCGTCTTCTTGGGGAACTCTCTGGAATAATGACCTGCCTGACCACAACTGAAGCAAACATTCTGCCCCAGTCGACAAGCACCTGTATGCATCTTCCCACACTTGGCACAAGTGGGAATCTTCCCTGCACTAAACATTCCGCTTCCATTCTTCACAAAGGGAGTCTTCTTAAACTTGGTGTTCTGCTGTGCTTGCAAACCCTTGCCCTTACCCTTCCAGGGCGTAGTCCTCCCACTGAAGCTCTTTCCTGCTGCTTCCTTTCCCCTGGTACGATAGTGCTCCTGAATATTCTGGCACTGCTTGATCAACTCCACAAAATTTCTGGTGCAATGACCCGCCAGTTTGTCTGCTATCATATCATTCAGACCCTTCCTGAATCGAAAGGCCTTGTCTTCTGGAGTGAGGGGAGTTCTACCATAACAAGAATATTTTGCCAAGCGGTTGAACTTGCTGAGATATTCATCCACAGTCATGCCTCCCTGCCGGAGGTCTTCAAACTCACTCTTCTTCCTTTCCCTGGCTTCTTCAGGGAAGTACTTTTGCAGAAAATGCCTCTCAAATAATGGCCAAGTAATAGCATAACCTTGGCACTCAAGTGGGTTTCTAACATTACTCCACCAGTCAGCAGCATCCCCCTGTAACATGTACACCGCATATAGGAGCTTCATGTTGGCATCGCATTCCATAACCTGAAAAATACGCTCCATCTCTTGGAGCCACTCCAATGCTGCAATGGGATCTCTTCCACCTTTGTAATGAGGTGGGGAATGCTTCCTGAAAGCATTCAGCATACGCTCTCTAGTATCCCGGTCAAACCTGGGTGGTATAGCTGATCTATCAACCTCAATAATTAGCTGCCTCACTAGTCCTTCATGGACAGATGCCTCCGCCTCCTGATGGGCCTCTCCTGACCCTTCATGTCCCAGCACAACAGGCTCAAGAATCTGTACGGTACCAGCAGCACGTGCAACCTGCTGCTGCACATGTGGTGTAACTGGCGGTGGAGGAGGTGGTGAAGGTGGTGGAGGTCCTCCTCGTACCTCTGTCAACAGTAGTCGGATCATCTCAGCATTGGCCAGCCTATTATGCGCCATAAGGTCTTCACTGGCCTTTCTTAGCTGCTCTCTATCGCGATCTCTGGCCTCTTCGATTCTTTTCAAATCAGCTTCCCTGGTTTCATTCAGGGTCTGCTGCAATGTTGCTATAGCTGCAACAATAGGATCAGGAGGAGGGATTTGAACTATTCGCCTGGGTCTCCCTCGAGGTGCCATGTCACTACACAAAACTGCACGAGGTATGAGTTAGCTACGCTCAATCAAGTGATAGCATATGCAATATCATGACACTTAAGAGACACTCAATAAACAGTTCTAACACTTAAGCAATACATCAGTGAACGTCCCAGTGAAATTGCTCTGATACCATAAATGTAACACCCCGTAGTACTCCGGTTGTTAACATACATGATATTTAACATTCACAGCGGAAGACTTTATTTGAAAAGGAATAAAGCATCTTATAAAAATACGAGTAACTTTTTCCAAAACATTTCATAAAAACATTCACGTCAGATACTGCGAAAGCGTAAATCTAAATATACATCTACTAATTAATCCCATGAGCCAGTATTAGTGGCCATTGACCATCAAGATATGACATCAAGTGTCATTCCTGACGGAGTCTCACGGACAGCATAACGGCTGTATTTCGGATAACTAGAAACATGATTCTACACATACAGATAACCTAATTAATACAACAATTTAAACAGATAGCTTGCAAGTCCCACACGGACTGCAATCCCCTTAATGGGTCAATACAACTAATAAGGCTACATGCCCAAATTAAATGAATACATGCATCAAGTCTATATTAATTCGAAGTATAAAAGTATCAGTAAATAATCCATGGCTCTAAGAATACTATCATGAGCCTAAATAAATACATACAATAATCTCCATAAAATAATTAAGCATGTTAACAAGTCTACATGCCCACATCAAATCTAAACATAATATAAAATCATCAGCTGCATCATCAACTACTCCAATGCGGGGGCCTTACCCCTAGAAGCATCACCACTACTCTGGGTACCTGAAATGATGTCCCCAAACGGGGTAAGATAACAACATCTCAGTAAGCTCAAGGTTCATAGAGGATCCTCTAACCCCTGAGCCCACTTCTTGCATAACAAGTCAGATATAAAGCATATAATACAGACATACAGCATAAACATAGCATTATCATATCATCCTTGTGTAACCCCAGGGTCAAAGCCATAGATGGTTACATATGTGTGACTTCCAGGGTCAAGCCATAGACAGTCAACACAACCTCAGTATAAAATAGCTCCCAGAGTCAAGTCATAGGCAGCCTACATACCATGATCACTGGCCAGGATCCTCATAACATATATCATCACTGCATCATCATAACATCAAGATCATATAACATCTATATGAATATGAATGAATGCACATATACATCATACCATATACTTCCATACAATATAACCATAATGCCCACCATCATGGTGGGGCCACAAGAGAGAGGAGTCAACTAGAACTAGGAGCTTACCTTAGGGAGCTTAGCACAAGCCCACACTCCAATATAATACGTATGCTCCAACAAAATCCTCAAGTGCACGGTTCTCTAGGCACACCTAGAGTAGGAACCATTCACATCAATAATTACATATTAATTAATCAAGTCATATCCACGACTTAATCATTTAATGATTCCACTTTTCATACTCATATGCCAATAATATGCCCATTACAAGCCTAGACCAATTATTACTTATTACATATTTTAGTGCATTATTACAAGCCACTTTAATCTTCAATTACTTACATAGCTTAGAATCACATGCAAGGCTCACTTAGATTATTTTCAACTCATCCAAGTCATATTTATGATTATTATAAGTTACTAAGGGTTCCCCTAAGCCCACTTAGCTTAAATATCACTTTTACGGTTTTTCCATAACTGTACATGCTTCTGTTTTCTAGTTACTGGGCGTGACTCACTTGTTATAAAATTCTCATCTTTTAGTATGTTAATCTAGACTCAATTACCTTTCCAAAAAGGTATCATATGCCTCATTTGAAGTTTCCTAGCTCCGGTTATCACCATTTGAAGTTGGACAAACAAAGCTGTTTGCCAACTCCGAACAGGGCCCTAAACATCCTTTACCATTTCTGCGATTATGGAAATTATACTAAATCAATTGCTCTAAAAATTTTATGTAGACAACTAGACACCTTTATATTTAATTAGACATATTATGAGCCTAATTTGAGTAATAATTGAGGGAGAAAAAATTCATGGAAGTGTCAGCCATGTACAGCGCCCCTGCACATGCCTCCCTCTTGCAGTCCTCACTCAAACGAACATACAGAATGGAATATATCTTCAATTGATACCAAATTTTGACACCACGTAGATAACATCTCAATCTTCAATTTGATATAAGGCACATCCCTATATGACCTCTGTGGAGGAAGATATGCTCTCCCCAATTTTTCCTAAAAACTGGTTACTTAGCCTTAAATGTGTTTACTTAACAAACCTTAATTACTTTTGATTATAAATCCTAATTCACATTAATTCTTGGATTTTTCTATTATTAAGTCACATTATGAAATATCCTTAGTCCCATTATGTCATGATACTTAAATTTTACTAATTATTTAATTAGTGTACCTAAACCTTACTTTAGTCCAATTTTAGAGTTAAATCCTTGATTACTTTTGTTAATTAATCTCTACCCTTAATTAATCACCTAATTCATCATCTCCTTAATTTTAACACAACTAAACCCTTATGTACTTTATGGGGCAGATTTGATTAGCTATATTAATTAGGATTTTTAGCCATTATTAATCATGATTAGTGAGTTTTACTTAGAGTTAACCCACCTAGTTAATCTTTCTAATCATTTTTCCACACTTAACAACTTAATCACATTTTTTTGTCATCAAACCCTATCCTTACATGATATGGCTGAAATGTTCATGGTCCATTTTTGAGTTCATAGTCATCTTTTTACATGAACATCACTCAAAGGTCCAAAGGTGGCACCTTTAGTCATCCAATCCATCATTCCATGGTTCCAAACACACACACACTTAAGAATCATCATCAAACCATGACATTACGAAATTTTAAACAACATTCTCCTCATGAACATATCAAAATCAAGGCACTCAACAAGAAAAAGGGAGGCTTTTTGGTTCATATTTCCCAAGTGGGAGCTTACATCTTCAAGGTTTCTCCTTTAGCTCAAGTCTCCACCTTTTTCCACCAAGAACACACCTTTAGGCAAGCACACACCTTCATGAACATGCTCATGAGTTAGGCTCAAGAACATAAGAAGAAAAGATGATATTTTTCATGAAAAAAATTTAAGAACACTTACCCAAAAATCAAAGGAAACAAGCAAGCAAGTGTGATTCTTCAAGAGAGCTCAAGAACACAACTCCATAGCCTTTGCTCTCCACAAAACCATGGCTGTTTGGGATGATAAGGGACACGAAATTTTTGATTCACACCATGAAAATGGTATGGTTGTGAAGAGGAGAGTGAGGGGAACAATCTTTGTGAAGGAAGTTTGGTGGTTTAGAGAGATTTAGGTGAAGAAATCTTAGAGAGAAGTGAGAGAGTTTTCAAAATTTGAAACTTAGAGAGAGAAGGAGGTGAAGGGGCTGCTGATCAGAAATGGAAGGGAAGGAGAGGAGGGTGCCCTAATGAGGGGTGCCATGTCACTTAAGTGATATTCGTCCTTTAGTGAGACCCGGTGTAATTTTTAACTGATCCGTCGTCAAATTTTTACCCGAAAACTCTCAAGACTCTAACTTTAAGTACTTAACATTAATTTTGTCTAATTATCATGTTCATAACTTAAAAATTTGATTAGTAGATCACAGATCCACTAACAGTTGTTTAATTGCACTGTAGTCTTTACCGGTGTTCTTAACTGTACCCGGATTTCATAATCTTCTTAACTTTAACATTTTTGGTCTAATTATGACTCGTTAGGCATATATTGGTCTTTACTTCTATTTTCTTATCTTTTTCCTGTTCCGGGATTCTACCGGATGCTGCTACAACAGTACAAAATACCCGGCAGAAGTGACTTTTCAAAAATACCCCAATATGGGTATCAATCTTCACCAAATCATATCCTAACCTCATTCATGATGTTTATATCATTAAATTAGTTCTCTAACTATAATTTGCTAACTTGGAGCTATTCTACTAACTGTTATTACGTCAGCAGTCAAATTTAACAGATAAAAATTCATCTGTGCATAATACCTCAATATGGGTATCAAAATTCTTATAATTTTATGCTCATTCCATTTATGACTATAAGGTCCTCATTATAACCCTCTAATACGGGGATCATAATAAATTTTTCCACTTTGTGCTATCTTTTCCCCTTTTTGTGTGCTTTATTTTTTTTTTTTACCGTTTTTTTTTTCTCTCCCTATTGGAGAGAGAAAAAAATAAAAACAAAAAAAATAAATACAAGTGTTGAATTCTTATTGGAAGGACCACAAATACGGGGATCATAATAAATTTTTCCACTTTGTGCTATTTTTTCCCCTTTTTGTGTGTTTTTATTTTTTATGTACCATTTCTTTTTTTTTCTTTTCTTTCTCTCCCTCTATTGGAGAGAAAAAATAAATAAATAAATAAATACAAGTGTTGCATTCTTATTGGAAGTACCACAAATACGGGGATCATAATAAATTTTTCCACTTTTTGCTATCTTTCACCTTTTTGTGTGCTTTATTTTTTCTGTACCATTTCTTTTTTTTCTTTCTCTCTATGGGAGAGAGAAAAAAAGAAAAAAAAATAAATACAAGTGTTGCATTCTTATTGGAAGGACCACAAATATGGGGATCATAATAAATTTTTTCACATTGTGCTATCTTTTCCCCTTTTGTGTGTTTTATTTTTTCTGTACCATTTCTTTTCTTTTCTTTCTCTCTCTATTGGAGAGAGAAAAAAAGAAAAAATAAAAGGAAAAATAAATACAAGTGTTGCATTCTTATTGGAAGGACCAAAAATACGGGGATCATAATAAATTTTTCCACTTTGTGCTATCTTTTCCCCTTTTTGTGTGCTTTATTTTTTCTGTACCATTTCTTTTGTTTTCTTTCTCTCTATTGGAGTGAGAAAAAAAGAAAAAAAATAAATACAAGTGTTGCATTCTTATTGGAAGGACCACAAATATGGGGATCATAATAAATTTTTCCACATT